ATCTTGACTCAATTTTTAGCATAGTGGATTCGCCATTTTCATAGTCGATCCCAATGTTCGAGTTTGTCACCCTACCATTCCACCGAATAATAAGCCGAAACTTCTTAAATTTACCCATGTCTGCAATTTATAATAATTAAGTATGGTATATAATTAGTACATTATGGATACAAAAACAATATCATCCAAACCCATAAACAAACGCAACTAATTGATCTATCATGAAAAAACTAAACAAATTCATTTAAATTCATAACTAACTAACTAACATCTATCATATCATAATTAATCTAAATATCTCATAACATATTTGCCAATAACCGCAATTCACTAAATACAGACATATAATTACTAATACATCAACATGTAAACAATACATAATTATAACATACCGAATCCCGATGAGTTTCTTGAGCAGTAAACCAACTCCAAACCAGCTGAGAAAACGACCAAAAAAACACTAATTTTTGTACTAATTTGCTGTAAGGCAGCAGGAGGAAAGTGGGGGTCGGTTTTTATAAGGAAAAATGCCAGCTAATCACCGCAGTGGACAATTGCGGTGGACACATCACCGCTTTTGTCCAAAACGGTGATAGCAAGGTCGCTGTGACCTAATTTTCCACCTACCAGGCTCTAAAATGTGGTCAAATATCGCCGTTTTGGTCGACGACGATGATCTAATCACCGTTTTGCACATCAGCGGTGAGGCCATCACCGTTTTGGACGGCAACGGTGATACCTTCCCCGTTGTTGTCGAAAGTGGTGATGTGTTCCCTGTTGTTTTCGAAAGCGGTGATACCTTCCCGGTTTTAGACTAAAGCGGTGATTATAATCACTATCGAAGACGAAGACAGTGATGTTGAAACTACTGTACTTTGGGAAATAAGTTTATAAGTACTGTATTTAGGGAATTTTTTTAATAACTTGAGTATTCTGGGATTTTTTCCGGATCAATTTTGGGGTTTGATTTTTTAATTAATTGATTTGGGACATAAAAACTATTAAATAAAAAATAGGAATATTTAGGAGTAAATGATGGTAATTGGGTAATTTCACAGTCCCTTTAATGATCACTTAACAAACAATTAGATTTAAGGGTAAACTTGTTATGTTTTGACATTAGAAGGGTATGTTTGTGCCAAAATTTAATAGAAGGATACATTTGTTAATTTACCATAGTAGAGAGGTACAAAATTCTATTAACCCTTTAAATTACATACTCATTTGGATAGTTTTTTTCCAACTCACATCCCATAATAAATTATCCTACATGCATCGAACTTGTTACGGGATAGTTATAGATATCGAGATACTCCCCTGGATTTGATAGATGAGTAAATCCTTAACACATGAGCTATCTGAACCCTAGAGATCATAAATCGCAACCAACTCTGTATTCAAATGTCGCTTTTCTGTTGATCGGATTTGAAGCTTGTGTATAGAAAATGGGTAAAAACTAAAAAGGATTCAAAGTCAATGGGGCGGGATTTGGTGACAATCCCTAAGGGGGTTGTCATATTGACAACCAAGAGTAATTTGAGTATAAAAAAATGAATTTATTAATTAATTACTTTGTATTAATTACACATTGAAAATTAAAATCTCATATTAAATACATGCCTTTTTAAAAAAATAAAATTAAACCCTACAATTAATACTGTTGATGCCAAGCTAAAATAGCCGACCTCGAACGTTGTAGAGTCCGCAGAGCGTTGACCTTTTGATTTGCCGTTGGATTCCAGCTCTCGAGATGAATACCTGCAAAAGAGGACCCGCATGTTGTGGTCGGCTGGGACCTTCTCCAAAGCTCAAGTCAGTACTTGAAAATAACACGGAGCGGCGTATAGAACCGGCTCTAGGGAGAAAGAAAGAGAAATTTTGGGGTTGGAAGTTGCCAATTCGCCGAGAAGAAGTTCGTCGGGAATTCCCCTTTTCCTATCTCGTTCAGAGGAAATGAGTTCCCTGGAATTGAGATGGATTGCCGAGGAAACATAAATGAGCGTCCTATTTATAGGTGCCTCCTGCTCCTGGCATGGGGTGGCGTGTCCCTTACTAATCGTGAGTAAAGTGTGAAATAAACATATTAATTGAAGGTTGGAAGCTTACCTTGGACGTCAATGCATGGATATATGCACACTACTAGCATAATAAAGCGTCAAGTTCCACTTTGCTTGCTTCCACGTGCTAGGATGTGGAGGTATGAATTTAACCAAGGTAACTGGTGGAGGAGAGTAAGGGGATTTTTATTAATTAGAAAGTCCATGTGTCATTAGTTGATGGAATCACTTTATCTCATGTATAGCTACGTGAAAATGGGGAAGCAGGAGGTGGTGGAAAGATAATGATGGCCATTCTATACAAGCTACGTGGATGAGCTTAAAAAGAAGGTTTAGTTTGTGTGTTTAAGTGGAACAAAGGCTCTCCCAACCAAGTTGAATGGTGGGCTGTAATATACAAGAAATATATTTAATTAATAATTTTAAGGGAGAACATAATTGATTTTACCCTATCAAGGCCACGTGTAAGTGATAGTGGCTTGCAACCCAATTGGTTATGTGCTTATTCTAGGGCTTTGATAGTTGGAGGACTAAGATAGTAGGGGTTTCTTTATTTGTATGTGGAAGGGGTGAAAGACAGGAAGTGTACTTCTTAGGTGGGGTTAAAAAGCTATCCATGTCTTACCTTCCCTTCCTCCACGTATTAGACAGGTGGTATTGAGCTGTCTTTGAATTAGGTGGACTCAAAGAGAGAAATGGTGGTAAAACTAGTCTCCCATCTTCCATGGGTCACGTGTAAGTAGAGGATCATGGAGTGGAGCATTTCTTTTCCAGTTAGGAGCCACGTGGGGTGGGTAAAGAGATTTTACTCCTCACAATTATCCAACACATGACACATGGAAAATTATGGGTAATAGATTTAGGTGGGTGGTACTTATCAATTGCCCCCCTTATTGGTTGTGTGAACTCTCAACCGATAAGCTCTGCATATAAATAGGGAAAGAAGGGGTGAACTCTCTTCCCAAAATTCACCTCATAACATCTTGCACCCTACTCCCATTCTCTTCGTCATAATAGAGTGAATTTCCAACCCAATCCACCTTTGCTTCTAATTTCCCTATCACCTAACCCCCATACCCCAAATTCTCATCTTCCATTACGTGACTAGAGAAAGCCATTCTCCTGCCAATAATGTAAGTAAGAATTACCAACTATATACCTTTTGTTTGATTTTATGTTTTATCGCATGTGTTTTTTTTTACTTACCACGTGTTTCTCTTTCCTTTTGTACAGATAAACATATATTGGATTTAGTTTTACGAAAATGTCACGAGAGCGACCATCGAGTTCTCGCCCGGGGTTTTCTGAACGAGAGGAATTATCTAATCCACCAAAACCTCTACGCCCAGTCCCATGTTCGGAGCTAGCTCGCGGGAGGGGCGAACAACTAGTCCCTGGGGAAGGATCAGCTGCCTCTAATCGTCGAGACACACCAACATTCTCTATCCGACCATGGCATGGTATGTTTCATTCCACATCTCATTTCTCAGAATGGGCTATGATAGGTCCAGGTGGACGTTTTAATCGTAATGAGAGTTGGGTACAAAGTACTTTGTTGCAATTTGATATGCCGCGCTACTGGGAGTATGCGGTCCCGACACGGTATACTACCCCAGGCAATCGTGGTGTGGGATGGCATGCTGTATATCGAGCATCCCTTGATTATGGGCTTCGTTTACCATTTCCGACGTGGCTCTGCGATGTGATGCGGAGATCTCATTTGACGTTAAGCACGGTGACACCGGGATTTTGGACACTTGTTCCTGCTTTTTGTTTGGGTTGTCACAGGGCCGGTGTGTCACCCTCATCAGAGCTTTTTTATGCATGCTTCTACCTTCGTGGTGAAGCTACTGGATGGTCTCTTCATAGTAGATCTAATGCGCTTGGCCTCGTGACTCCATATGGTCGTGCAGACCGGGGTTGGGAACGTGAGTTTTTCTATTTCTTTCCAGCTTCGGGTGAACTTTCTTCTGAGGGTGTTATGATCCCTACTGAATGGAGGGATATCGAGTTGGAAGGACTTCACAGACAAGCGGTACGTAGAGAATACGCAGTACAGAGAGAGCTAGCCGCCAAAGTGAAAATGATATCAGAAGGAGGGAGGATTAACGTCGAGACTCCTGAGGCTCGGGCTATACTCTTTTTCATGGTCTATAATGATGGTACGTTTGGGTATTGCTTGTTAATATTTGAGTGATTCCTTATTACCTATATGTTTTTTTTTTCGTTTTTGTTTTTGCAGCCTACTCGCATTTTAGAGCATGCATGGAAATTCAAGAGAATGCCCTATTTACTGCGAGGCTACCGCCACCTGCCCCCCGTTCTCAAAGTGGTGTGGTGATCCGTGAAATTTCCGAGGAGCCCGAACCAGCAGTGCCGACCTCGATTGGTCGTCAAAACAAACGAGTGTGTCGCTCCTCTCCATATCGAGGCAAGAATAATGATTCAAGGAGGAAATTCGAGGCTAGTAGCTCGAGCCATTCTGCCCGCGGGGGCGAGCAGAGTCGTTTTCAGACGGCGAGAGCATATCATAACTCAGAGTCCCATCGCCGGGGTGGTTCAGGCACCCCAGGTAGAGGAAGGACAGATGTCCCCCTCGTTATGAACTACCAAACCTTGCGTGATATCGGGAATCAATTTCCTCCTCTTGAAGGCGAGGCTGCTGGTGTTTGCTTTGCGTTATCGCAAAACCAGGTAACTTTATTGTTAATTAGTCAATGTAAATTGTGATGAGTTAACTAACCTTAGTGTTTCCTGCAGATGAATCAATATGCCGCCGAGATGGAGAGGCGCGTAGCGAGAGCAAGGGCAGAGGTTATAACAGCTTAACAAAATGTTGTACGCGTAGAGCATGATCTTCGTAATCAAACTAGAAAAGTGGAAGAAGCAAGGGGTCGAGCCAGTGAGGTTGAGGCACTCCTTTGCGAAGTTCGAAATTTCCAAATGATCACTTTAGAGAGGCTACAAGAATTGGAAGCCTCAGGAGCAGCATTGCTACAGGAGATGACGAGACTCAAGGAGGATCATGCTGCTGACCATGAAGTTCTTATGGCAGAGCGTGATGAAGCTCGTGCAGAGATAGTACGACTGCAACATCAAGTGCAACAATCGGTGGGGGAAACCTCAGGAGGTGCCATGCTCTTAGTGGGTTCACGTGACATATTTCCAGAGGCTGAGTCTGACGAGGCACATATCCCAAGAGAGGCGGATACCAGAATCGAAGGAGTTCCATCCGAGGAGGTGGTGATGCATCGTGGTAACATGGAGATTGAGCCTTTCATTTCAACCCCGATATTTGATACGACTTCTGCGGATCAATCCTTTATTGCGGCAATGGATAGCCCAATCCCGTCAGAGCTTGCAATGTCGGCCGAGAATGCCTGGGTGAATGAAATACTTGGCTTCGATCCTCCTATGTGAGATAGTGTAGCTTGCAGCGGTAGCAAACTTTTCTCTGTACAGGTAGTATCTTGCTCCGCAAAGGTATTCGGATATATTACCTATGTGTGTCATGTTTATGTAGCAGCATATCTTGCCTATGTACATTAGTAGTTCGTCATAGATATGTAACCGTGCATTTTGCGTTGTACATATAGCGGTTTTTAATAAAACTAGGTGGCGACGTATCACCATTTTATTTCAAACCTTTTGTACATGTCGCAACAAACACGTAATACATATTATGGCATATACTATGTACGTATTATGGCATATACTATGTACATATTATGGCATACTCGATACATATTATGGCGTAAAGTACCTTTGAAGGTGCATGGCATTCCAGGTGCGGGAAATGTTTCGGCCACTAGCATCAGAAAGCTTGACAGTGTTTGGGCCGACCACTTTGCGTACTCTATAGGGTCCTTCCCATGGTGGATTGAACTTTCCTAAGCTTGTTTTGTGGTAAAAGTTGCGGTGGAGAACCCATTCACCTTCGCATAATGGTCGTTGCTTTACTTTGGTATTGTAGTAACGAGCTACGCGTGCCTTCATGGCTGTCATTCTGAGGAGAGCGTCTTCTCGACGTTCTTCAATGAGATGGAGGTCATGAACGAGCTCCTGTTGATTATCGTTGGAGTGAAATGTTTCAATGCGGTAGGAGGAAAGCTCAGTTTCCACAGGAATTACTGCATCTATGCCAAAGGTGAGGGCATAGGGTGACTCCCCTGTGGCTGTTTTATAGGTCGTGCGATGGGCCCAAAGAACATGAGAAAGTTCTTCCGCCCACTTTCCTTTTGCTTCATTCAGTCGAGTTTTTAGTCCCTAGAGGATGTTTTTATTGGCTGACTCAGCTTGTCCATTAGCTTGAGGATAGGCGACAGAGGCATAGCGGAGAAGGATGCCATACCGTGCACAGTATGTTTGAAGACTTTCACTTGTGAACTGTGTCCCTTGATCGAGTATGATGGTGTGGGGAAGACTAAAGCGACAAATGATATTTTCCCACAAGAATTTCTCGACTTGTTGGGCAGTGAGTCCAGTGATGGCTCTCGCTTCTACCCATTTGGTGAAGTAATCGATTGCGACAATGAGCCATTTTTTTCGTCCTGGGGCTTCAGGGAATGGTCCCAGGAAGTCCATTCCCCATTGGGCAAATGGCCACGGACTTATATTTCCTTGCATGGGCCCAGGTGGTGCATGTGGAACTTGGGCAGCAACTTGACACTTGATACAAGATTTGACATACTCTCGCGTGTCTCGACGCATAGTGGGCCAATAGTATCCCTGTCTGAGGAGGACCTTCTCGAGACTTCGTGGGCCAACGTGCATTCCGCATGATCCATCATGAGTTTCCCGGATAGCAAAGTTGGCTTCCCCTTCATCAAGGCACCGGAGGTACGGGCCAATAAAACTTTTTTTGTAGAGTACACCTTCTATAAGGAGGTAGCGAGGAGCACGCCTCCGAAGTTTCATGGCTTCCTTGGGGTCAGTGGGTAGAAGGTCATGTTGGAGATACTCCATGAGGGGTTTGCGCCAATCTTGTGGGATTGATGATGAGATAATAGGAGCGCATAACAAAGTAGGGCGACGCTCAACTACCACATTCCTGTCTTCAGGGAAATCTCGAGCCGTGGCAAGCTTCGAGAGGGCATCCGCATGGAGATTTTCTTCTCGTGATACATGCTTTATCTCAACATGTATAAAATCAGTCATAATGGCTCGAGCAGCATTGACGTAGGCAGTTAGGGCAGGTTCACGAGCCTCGTATGCCCCCATAACTTGATTGACAACAAGGGCAGAGTCTGAGTGTATCAAAATTCTTTGAACTCCTAATTCTTGCGCCATTGTTAAGCCAGCTAGGAGGGCTTCGTATTCTGCGGCATTATTAGTTCTTGTAGTTGAAAAGCGAACAGCCAGCTCATGGGTAACACCCAGTGGACTGATGAGAAGCACTCCTGCTCCAGATCCGGACTTACTTGAAGCTCCATCCACAAATAGCCTCCAAGTTTCAGACTCGGACAGTGTGGTAACATGAATTCCCTCAGCCACAAAGTCAGCCAGCACCTGTGATTTGATGGATGTACGGGGGAGGTAGGTGATATCATATTCACTTAATTCAATGGCCCAATTGATCATTCGACCCGCTACATCCATACGTTGGAGAAGCTTTCGGAGTGGCAATTGTGTGAAAACACAGATAGAGTGGCTCTGGAAGTATGGGCGAAGCTTTCTTGAGGCCACGACCACAGCTAAAGCAGCTTTTTCAACGGGCGAATACCTGGTCTCAGCATCTAGTAGAGTTTTACAGTTATAATATATCGGATGTTCGGTGTTGTCAGCATCTCGACGAAGAAGTACTGAGCTCACAGCCTTCTGCGATACGGCAAAATACATGAAAAGAGTTTCATTATTTACTGGGGCAGAAAGTACTGGAGGTGTCACCAAAAAATCCTTGAGCTTAGTAAAAGCTTTTTCGCACTCAGGTGTCCATTCAAAGTGTTTCCCGGCATCCTTCAAAGTGGCAAAGAATGGAACACAACGATCACCGGCACGAGAGATAAAACGATTGAGTGCGGCGATGCGACCTGTGAGAACTTGCACTTCTTTACCTCTGGTTGGGGAGGACATTTGAAGGATGGCATCAATTTGTCGAGGGTTTGCCTCGATCCCTCTCTGGGTTACCATGAACCCCAAGAACTTTCCAGCAGTCGCCCCAAAAACGCATTTCTTAGGGTTGAGTCGAAGAGCATATAGGCGAAGAGTGTTGAATGTTTCTCGGAGATCTTCCAGATGTTCATTGACACTGTTACTTTTTACCAAGATATCATCAACGTAGGCTTCGAGGTTCCGACCAAGTTGACGTGAGAAAACACGATCAACCATTCGTTGATAGGTGGATCCAGCATTCTTTAAGCCAAAAGGCATGACCCTATAGCAATAGTTACCAACTGGGGTCATGAATGCTGTTTTTTCTTGATCTTCTTTTTTCATGGGAATCTGGTGATAACCAGAAAACATGTCGAGGAAGGAAAGAAGGCGGTGCCCAGAGGTAGCATCAATCAATCGATCAATTTTGGAAAGAGGATATGGGTCTTTTGGGCATGCCTTATTGAGGTCAGTGAAGTCTACGCACATCCTCCACTGCCCATTGGCCTTTTTTACCATAACAACGTTGGCCAGCCATGTGGGGTAGAGAATTTCTCAGATGAATCCTGCCTGAGCGAGTTTGACTACTTCTTCTGCAACTGCTTGACGTCGTTCCCATGCAAAGTTCCTTCTCTTTTGTTGTACAGGAAGACACCCTGGGAGAATCCCTAGGGCATGCTCAGCTACCCAACGATCAAGTCCAGGCATGTCTTCGGGACCTTGGGCGAGTAGTTCTTTAAACTCTCGGACTAAGTTGAGAAGCTGAGGAAGTGCTTCTTTAGGCCAAGCGGTTGAGACACGGATGGTAAGGCCATCTTGAAAAACTTGTTCCTCATCAAGGTCGACAGGCACAGGGCGAGCTACCTCTTCTCGAGTGTCAACAGTAGTGACATGTTTATCTTTAAGGGAAAATGCACAACATTGCTTAGAGATTGCTTGATCCCCTCGGACACAACCTACCCCGGACGGAGTAGGGAACTTCAATTTGAGATGAAGCGTAGAAGGGATGGCGTGAGCTTGAAGGGGTAAAATTCCAAGTACCGGGACTTGGTTTCCAGAGAAGCCTAAAAGAAAGACACTGGAAGGTTGACACCGATCCAAACGAAAACCCAATGAGCAAAAAGCGGGGTAAAAAAGTAGGTCGGCTGAGCTCCCTCGTCAATGAGAACTCGTTTTACAGTGTAGTTGGCGATGGTAGCCTCAATCACCAGAGGATTATCATGGGGATATTCGATATCCTCGAGATCTCGGGAATCAAAAATGATAGGATTTTGATCTGAGATAGTGGAGGTGGAGCCAACCAAAGTTCGAGCATACGTCTTACGAGAGGTGGACAATTCCTGTCGTAGTCCAGTTCCTCCATGTATGACTGGGACAACTCCTAACACAGGTCCGCTTCCTTGTGGAGCTTTTCCTTTGTCCGATGACGAAGGTTGTTGGATTGAGCCTTTGGAACTTTGGATGAACTGCTTAAGTTGCCCATTTTGAATCAGTCCCTCGATGGATCTTCCCAATTTTTCGCATTCCTCGGTGTCATGCCCGTATCCCCGATGAAAGTCACAAAATTGGTTCTTTCCTTTTATTGGTTTTATGCGACCTCGAGGTGGCCATGTCACCGGAAGCTTTTTATCTTGAATGACCTGGAGAACATTCCTCCGGGGATTGTTGAGTGGGGTAAAATTTTGGCCTGGAGGGAATGGCCCATCCCTTCTGCGATCATCTTTTTGAGCCTTGGGTATGTTATCCAAAGTTGGCCGGGGGCGTTGTAAAGTTTCTCGGTTTGGCGGAGGCGAATCCCTCCTACGCTTTGGCACAACGTAAGAGGAATCTTGTAAAGCTTCTTCTAGACCGATGTACTTCATGACCCGCTCCTGTAGCTCAAACATACTCCGAGGGGACTTCTTGATGAGGGAAGCCCGGAGAAGACTGTTTGTTGTTCCTCGTGTCAATGTGTTGACAATTACTTCAACAGAGAGGGAAGTGACGCCTATAGCCAAGGTGTTGTACCTAGCATAATAGGCTTTTAAAGCCTCGCCCTCTCGTTGCTTGGTATTCATGAGCTGATTAATGCTCACTGATTGTCGCTTTTGGGCATAAAACTTGCACCGAAATAGTGTGGAAAATTCAGTGAAGTTGTTGATGATACCATTGCGAAGCTGAGAGTACCATCGACGAGCGTCTCCTCCAAGAGTAGCGGGAAATATTTTACACATGGTGGCATCAGAGGCACCAATAAGAGGCATCAAAATCTCAAAGGAACTGAGATGATCTTCTGGGTCGGTGGTGCCATTGTACTCCGGAAGGTTGGGTATATGGATGTTTCCCGGGTACGGCTCATTTAGAATGGCCAAAGCAAGGGGGCGACCGGTACTTGGTTGAGAAAACGTCCCCGGGGGAGGAAGTTCTTCGAGGTGAGGAACAATTGGGGAGACATCTTGGGCCGCTGCTTCAGTTGTTGCCGGAATGCCATTATGATGGTTGTTGGAGGATCTAGGGACTCCCGTACTCCCGTAGAAAGTTGGTAGAGGAACCGGTGGTGGTTGTGGAGCCTCCGTTGCAGACCGAATCTGAGCACGAAGTCGCTCAATTTCAGCCTGCAAATCTTCAACCCTTTGGGATGGTAGAGTTTGCTCAGGGTTTGGAGTTGAACCTTGACCGATCTCAACATGCAGTTGAGAATCCGTTGTATCCATCTCGACTGGTTGAATTGGAAATCTATAGGTAGTAATCTCACCGGGCCCCACGGTGGGCGTCAATTGTTGATGCCAAGCTAAAATAGCTGACCTCGAACGTTGTAGAGTCCGGAGAGCGTTGACCTTTTGATTTGCCGTTGGATTCCAGCTCTCGAGATGAATACCTGCAAAAGAGGACCCGCATGTTGTGGTCGGCTGGGACCTTCTCCAAAGCTCAAGTCAGTACTTGAGAATAACACGGAGCGGCGTATAGAACCGGCTCTAGGGAGAAAGAAAGAGAAATTTTGGGGTTGGAAGTTGCCAATTCGCCGAGAAGAAGTTCGTCGGGAATTCCCCTTTTCCTATCTCGTTCAGAGGAAATGAGTTCCCTGGAATTGAGATGGATTGCCGAGGAAACATAAATGAGCGTCCTATTTATAGGTGCCTCCTGCTCCTGGCATGGGGTGGCGTGTCCCTTACTAATCGTGAGTAAAGTGTGAAATAAACATATTAATTGAAGGTTGGAAGCTTACCTTGGACGTCAATGCATGGATATATGCACACTACTAGCATAATAAAGCGTCAAGTTCCACTTTGCTTGCTTCCACGTGCTAGGATGTGGAGGTATGAATTTAACCAAGGTAACTGGTGGAGGAGAGTAAGGGGATTTTTATTAATTAGAAAGTCCATGTGTCATTAGTTGATGGAATCACTTTATCTCATGTATAGCTACGTGAAAATGGGGAAGCAGGAGGTGGTGGAAAGATAATGATGGCCATTCTATACAAGCTACGTGGATGAGCTTAAAAAGAAGGTTTAGTTTGTGTGTTTAAGTGGAACAAAGGCTCTCCCAACCAAGTTGAATGGTGGGCTGTAATATACAAGAAATATATTTAATTAATAATTTTAAGGGAGAACATAATTGATTTTACCCTATCAAGGCCACGTGTAAGTGATAGTGGCTTGCAACCCAATTGGTTATGTGCTTATTCTAGGGCTTTGATAGTTGGAGGACTAAGATAGTAGGGGTTTCTTTATTTTTATGTGGAAGGGGTGAAAGACAGGAAGTGTACTTCTTAGGTGGGGTTAAAAAGCTATCCATGTCTTACCTTCCCTTCCTCCACGTATTAGACAGGTGGTATTGAGCTGTCTTTGAATTAGGTGGACTCAAAGAGAGAAATGGTGGTAAAACTAGTCTCCCATCTTCCATGGGTCACGTGTAAGTAGAGGATCATGGAGTGGAGCATTTCTTTTCCAGTTAGGAGCCACGTGGGGTGGGTAAAGAGATTTTACTCCTCACAATTATCCAACACATGACACATGGAAAATTATGGGTAATAGATTTAGGTGGGTGGTACTTATCAAATACACTTGTATCTTTCTCTATCTCTTTTTTTTTCCAGCAGCCTCTCCCCTCTGGTCGTCAAACTTTCTCCGATCGGCAGACTTTTTTCCGGTGAAATCCTTCGATCAGACTCACTCCGAACACTTGCAAGTATCACTTCATCAGTGCGCTAGTGGTAGTGATTTTTGCCTAGTGGTACGCTACCACTAGTATTGGTACGATACCACTACTCACTGGTAGCGCTATCAGCAGTAGTGGTACGCTACCTGGGCTAGTGGTACGGTACCATTACCACTTGTAGCGGTACCACTAGCGGTACCAGTACAACTTGTAGCCGAACCATTAGCGGTACTAGTGCCACTGGTAGCGGTAATAGTGCCACTAGTAGCGTACCACTAGAGACTAACGCAAAAAAGCCAGATCTGTAATATGAAAAATCACAGATCTGGAAAAAAAAATCGGGGATGAGGAAAGGGGGAGGCAGCGGAGAGGCATTGACCTCGTTGCGACGGTGGTGGGAGACAGAGGGCGGCGGGAGGGTTGCGATGGGGAGAGGGTGATGGCGCGACGGTGGTGGGAGGAGGAGGCCCTGATGGGTGCGGTGGGAGGGACATGGCGGTGCTGGGAGGCGGAGGGCACGACGGGTCGGCGGGAAGGCTGAGGCGGCGGTGGTGGCAGCCGACATAGAGAGAGGGAAGAGATGTGAGGAAGAAGAAGAAGAATAGGAAGAAGAAAGTATGATGGCGTGAGAGAGAGAGAGAGAGAGAGAGAGAGAGAGAGAGAGAGAGAGAGAGAGAGAGAGAGAGAGAGAGAGAGAGAGAGAGAGAGAGGAAAGAGAGAATGTAAGGTTTTGGGTATTAATAGGGGTAATTATCTAGTGTGATCAATTTTTTTCGTCCAAAAATACCCTTAATCCAAAATGTTCCATTGATTTGAAAAAAGAAGAAAGAGACAAGAGAGAGAATGAATCCTATGGTTATAAAATGTGTGTCAATCTCACAACCCTCTAATGGGGTTGTCACGGTATCTCATCCCAAAGTCAATGTATTTAAACGAGAGAAAGAAAGAGCCCAAAAGACTCCTGCTTTTCTATGGTGCATGACATTTTTTTTACTGTTAATAATGGGTGACTTTATCCCTTCCTTGATTGCACCAAATGGATCACTAACTCAACCTACTTTCCTAATCCATTAACAATCACCATTCACTTTTTGGAATGTCTTTTCCCTAAAACAAAACTTTTTTAACTGCCTTCGTTTCACTCTACAGTGTAAATATGAGATAAGAATAACATGAAGTTCTTCCCCATGGAGGTTCACTTGGCGAAACACGTAAGACATGTTGAAACAAGTAAATTTTGTTTTGCTAAAAACGTAAATCTCGTTACGTGACAACTTTACTGAGTCAAGTTGGTGTATTTTCTGAATTCATTTTGTTGTGTGTTCTATATGTAGAAGTTGTGTTATTCCTTTGATTTATGAAAAGAATAATTAAATTAAAATTGTGATAACACCTAAAATTGATGTTATTACTTATTTGTCTTTCAATTTTTAAATGTTTGAATGCCATAATCATCATATTTTGGTCATTTTGGATTGATTTCGTGCTATATTTGTTTGGAAATTCATACCCTAAGATTCAACACGACTTTTATGTTTCTTGGTCATTTGGCCTCCAACTTGTTCATTCTCATCTTATCGTAGTCTAGTTGTGCTTTCTTTCTTAATATCTGGTCCTAGCATGATGAGGAATGACGTACCAAGTTTCGTGTCAATTGGAAGTTATTTGAAGGGTGAAAAGAAGGTGAAAAGTTCACAATATATAGTTCATGCCAGTGAACTCCTTATTTCGGCCCTGAACTTGAGCAACAGTGAGTACAAAAGGTCTCATAGCCAGCCTCATGACCACAACAAGCCAGACCGCGAGAGAGATTTCATGATCACGAGTTGGAGATCCGGTGGGTGAAAATGAAGAACTAGCTAGTCTCACGACCACAACAGTGACATATTTCAAGAGTTCATGGGTATTTGCCAAAGTTCACGACTGTGTACTCTCTCTAATCCTAGCCCATGAAGTTTGATATGCTAATGGGTTTATAAGCACTTTGGGTTGTTTTTGGGACAAAGGGGTCATCTTAAAGAGAGAAAAACAGAGTATGAGAAGATGTAGAATGACGAACTTGGAGAGGTTTTGAATGATTTCTTTCTCATCATAACCCCAAAATGCTCCCAAGATTCAATAAGGGTTACCAAATCGAGAAGGAGAAGAAGGATCTAGCCCTTGATTGTTGCTCTTCTCCCTCTTTGTACACTCTTTTATTGTCTATGTTTTATCTTCACTTGTTGTTTAAGAAGATGAACTTTAGCTTGTATATTGTTTAGGATTTTGTTTGTAAGCATGATTGTGAAACTATTTCCTATATCCATGTGACGTTTGATTATGACAGTCTCTTGCTTTAGCAAACGTGATTGATTCCTTTATTCTTGACCTAAGCATGGTAACCATCCAATTAGGTCAAGATTAGAACACCAATCAATAGAGTGAAGTTACCAACTACAAGATCATTGGATTGTAGCTTCATTTGCATAGGGTTAAATACAATTTGAGGAATCTAGGCTTAGTGCTCTAGTAAATTTTTGGTTACATGATCATTGAATCAAAAGTCTAACAGAAGTGCATCTAAGAGTCATGATCATTGACTTAGGTGCTCGTTTAAGTGATCCCTCACAATTTAAAGATATGGAATCCTTCAATAACTTGCATTCAACCCACATCAACCTATGATGAGGTCATCAAAACCAATTCCATATCGTCACAAGAAGGTCCAATTACACGATTACAAGCAAAGAGGTTAAGGGAAGAGTTTGCTGCTTATTTTGGTCGTTATTTTCTCAAATGGACGTGGATCAACATCGTGGGAAGCCCATTACATTGCTACAACTCGTGGACCAGAATGGAGGAAGAATGGGCTTGGAAGGAGGAGAGGATTCGGCCAAAGAAGAGAAGAGGAGCCCTAGGTGTGAAAAGGATCAAGGTGTGAAAGGAATCAAGGAATGAGCACAAGGGCATGGGCGGATTTGAAGGCTAAATTCTAGGGAGTGTGCTGACTTAGTCTTTTCTTGTTTGTTAAGGATTTGTGTTTCCTTTTAAGTGTAGGATTTGGTCTTTTATTTGTTTAACTTTTAATCTTTGGATTAGTGTTAGGAGTCTATAAACAGGGGCCATAATTCATCAACTTTTCCATCAATAAACTTTCAAGCTTCGAGTTCAATACGAATGATTTTCTTTGTGAACGCTTCTGTCGAGAGTCTCCAGGAGTTTCACGTGTCTCTTATCAACTAGAGAATGCGTCTAGTTGTGGCAAGCTTCTACCAAATAGTGATTGGTCTCATTCACGAGTTGGAGAATGTTTGATTGGTTTGTACACCAATTGACCTTTTTCATGAGTGAAATTCGTTCGATCGTGTTCCATCTTTATCTTTTGTTCGAGTTTCGTTTAAGTTGGAGAAAAGCTTCAAAATCCCATAAAGAGAAGGAAGGTTGCACACTTTGGTTACATCAAGTGGTATCAGAGTGCGATTCAAACACAGCGTAGACGAAGAAGTTTTTGGAGTTCTTATGTGTCCTTGAAGCTTCTTGGTTGAGTTCTTGCAAATCTTGACGTGTTCTTGAAGGTTTCTTGCAAGTTGTCTTGGAAGAGTATTTGGTGCCGCAAACATGGGAGATGAAATCAAGGCTTTGACCAAGCAAATCCAAGCCTTACTTCAAGCACACACCAGCAACTAAGTCAAAATTCAAGCGACACTACAAGCTCAAATCGCTCGGATGGAAGCCTGGAAAGCAAGGATGCAAGAACCCCAACCTCATGAAGGGGAATAACAACCCTAACCGTAATAATGAAAGGGCTAGGACAGAATAAGGTCGAGGTAAGAGGAGGATTGTTCAGCAACCCATGGCTGAACAACAATTGAGGCGTCATTGCCCTTTGGGGGTGCCACTAGCAAGACTAGGCCAACCTCGAGATGAAGAAGTCGAGCACGAAGATGAGGAGGCTTACCCTTGAGATGAAGATGATGAGTTGAAGAACATCAAGGTGACCATTCCAGGGTTTAGAGGCTCTACTAATCCCAAAGCTTACCTTGATTGGGAATGAAATATGGAATTGATTTTCTACTAAAACAACTATTCCGAAAGGAAGAAGGTAGAAGTGGCAGCCCTCGAGTTTACGGATTATGCCATCATATGGTGGGATCAATTAAGCACCAAGAGGAGGAAGAACATGAAATATCCTATTGAGACATGGACAGATATGAGAACCGTGATGCGAGATCGGTTTTTCCCTAGCTATCATCGTAGGGAGATGCATCAGGCCCTACAACTTCTACGATAGGGCACCAAGAGCGTAGAAGATTCTTCTCAAGAGATGGAGATGCTTATGATTAGAGAGGATCTTGAGGAGGAACGTGACACCATTATTGCACGATTCCTACATGGTCTTAATTGCGAAGTCAGAAACGTGGTAGAAATTCATCCCTATACAGATCTATATGACTTGGTTGCAATGGCGACCAAAGTAGAGAAACAACAACGTAGCAACGTTGGGATGAGATTCGTACCACCTCAAGGAGAACCAAGGGCAGGAGTGCCTTAGAATTAAAACCCTAGGCCATCCACAATGAAGCTAGAAGCACCAAAACTGAGATCCAAGGTTGAAGCACCAAGAGACAAACCCGCCGCTCTAGTGGAAGCATCCAATGCTTCAAATGTGATGGAAGAGGGCATATGGGCAACCAATGCCCTAATCGAAGAGCTTTAATCATGATAGATAATTGATATTATGTTTCGGATTATAAAGAAGAGGAGCAGGCAAAGGAGGCATTAGATTCGGAGATCGACGAATCAATCGAGATGGAAGCACCTCTCTGAAGTTTGCTTGTTACAAGGAGGATCTGAAGTGTGCAGCCCAAGGAAGACCTCGAACAAAGAGAGAAATTTTTTCATACAAGGTGTGTAGTGGATGGAAAGCTACTCTCCTTGGTGATTGATGGAAGAAGTTGCACTAACGCTATTCGCACCATTGCGGTTAAGATGTTGGGATTAAGTATAATGAAGCATCCCAAACCCTATAAGCTCCAATGGCTCAACGAAGATGGTTCAATCAAGTTGGCAAGATTTCTGAGGTTTGAGATTGGAGGCTATAAAGACGAGGTCCTATGTGATGTGGTACCGATGAAAGCTACACACGTCCTACTTGGAAGACCATGGAAATTTGATCAAAGCGCACAACACGATAGAGTCTCCAACAAATATCGATTGATGCATAAAGGAGAGAAGATCGTATTGAAGCCCTTGTCTCCCAATGAAGTCTATGAAGATCAATTACAATTACAATGAAATATGGAGCAAGAGAAGGAAGCTAGTGTCGTGGGCCCGAAGCAAGGTGAATCTAGTGTCTTACCCTATGTTTAGGAAGGAGGGAAAGTGGAAGGGAGAGAAAAAGGCAAGGGAAAATACAAATTCCAAGACATTTTCTGTCGTTTGCGAAAGATGCTACAGGGAGGAGCGAGAGAAACTAAGAAGGAAAATCTATTGTGCTAGGTAACCCTCCGATTTGGAGGGAAAATAAGACTCTGCGTTGATAGGCGCTAGTTCCCTTTCCATTGTTTATTCTTTTTTTATTTCCTTTTCTGCTTACGAAGATATGGGAAGATAATATTTCCATCCTTTTTCATCATTTCTCAATTATAATATATAATTTTTAATTAATCCGTAAACATATTTATTATGAATATGGGTTGATGATACGTAGAAAGAGAATGATTGGATTACAATTCTTGAACAATTTAAATGTAACTAATCAGCAATTTATCATGTCTTAGATATCTCCTTTTATTGCATATAAAAGGATTGAATCATTTTACAACCACAATTTAAAAATATTTATAATTTGATTATTCATGATCCTGCAAATATTTCTTATAAAAAATATATTTTTCACATATGATTCTTATATAATCAATACAATAACATATATATCACACTTCCCAATATACTTTTTCCCTACCACTATACTCTTCATTTTCCTCTATAAAACAACATTTTCCGTCCTTCTTAAATTTTCCCTCACCTCCCTTTCTCTCCTCTCCAAATTTTCTTTCCACTCCAATTTCCTTCCTTCTTTCGGAAACAGGGGGTTAGAGTCCAAGACATTAATGCTAGCACGAAGAGGGGACGTGAAGTAAGCTATGAATGATCGTGAGTCCATGATCATGATCGTCTACAAATGAGTTCTACTCAATCAAGAGCTTGTTCGAGATATACCACCTAATGCATGAGTAGCATTGGAAGAATTTGACGGTGTCTTTCCCGAGGAAGCTCCAATGGGTTTACCTCCAATCCAAGAGATAGAGCATCAAATCAACTTCGTTCCGGGGGCTACTATTCCAAATAAGAAAGCCTATAGGATGAATCCAGAGGAGAAGAAGGAGTTGCAAAGGAATATTGATGAGCTCATGGAGAAGGGACATGTTCGAGAGAGCATGAGTCCCTGCGCAGTTCCTGTCATTCTCGTGCCAAAAAAGGAATATACATGGAAAATGTGTGTTGATTGTCGAGCAGTCAACCATATTAGGTATCGTCATCCTATACCACAATTGGATGATATGCTTGATGAACTACGTGGTGCTAGCATGTTTTCGAAGATTGATTTGAGGTCAGGCTATGACCGGATTCGAATGAAGGAAGGAGATGAATGGAAAACCGCTTTCAAGACAAAGCATGGCTTGTACGAATGGATGGTGATGCCATTTGGTCTCATAAATGCGCCCAACACATTCATGAGGTTGATGAACCACGTATTGAGAGCTTTTATTGGGAACGTGGTGGTTGTCTGCTTCGATGATATTTTGATCTATTTGAAAAGCGTGGAGGAACATCTTGATCTTTGCGAGAAGTGTTAAAGACCTTGAGGAAGGAAAAACTCTATGCCAACCTCAAGAAGTTCATGTTTTGTACCTCGAACGTGGTATTTCTAGGATTCGTAGTAAGTGCGATTTGTATTGAGGTCGAGGAGGAGAAAGTTAAGGCGATTCAAGCATGGCCTACCCCTACCAATGTGAATGAAGTGAGGATATTTTATGGCCTGGCTGGTTTCTATCGACGATTTGTTCCAAATTTTAGCAACATTGCCACCCCATTAACATCTATTATCAAGAAGAATGTGGCGTTTTATTGGGGAGAGGAACAAGAGAAGGCGTTCAAGCTACTCAAGCACAAACTCACTCATGCTCATGTTCTAATGCTACCTTATTTTAGCAAGACGTTTGAGGTGGAGTGTGATGCATCATGATTGGGAATTGGAGTCGTATTGATGCAAGAGAAGAAGCCTATCGCTTACTTTAGCAAGAATTTGAGTGCAGCTACGCTTAATTATCCTACTTAAGCTAATGAGCTCTATGCATTGGTTCAAGCACTCTAGACATGGCAACACTATTTGTGGCGAAAAGAAGTCGTGATTCATATCGATCATGCGTCTCTTAAGTACTTGAAGGCCCAACACACATTGAACAAGAGGCATGCTTGTTGGTTGGAGTTCATTGATCAAGTACAAACAAGGCAATGAGAACATGGTTGCTGATGCATTATCGTGGAGGTACACATTGATTACTACTATGGATGCTAAATACCTTGGATTCGAGCAAATCAAGGCTGCTTATGGTGGGGATCTCGACTTTGGAGAAATTTACAAGGCTTGTGAGAAACATGGAGAAGGAAAGTTCTACAGAAGTGATGGTTATCTCTTTCGTGGTAATCAATTGTGCATATCTTGAACATCACTTCGAGAGCTTTTGTTGAAGGAAGATCATGGAGGAGGATTGATGGCTCACTTTGGTGTAGCCAAGACATTGAGGTGTTTGCAAGAGCACTTCTATTGGACTCACATGAAAGGATATGTGGAGAACTTATGTGAAAGATGCGTGGAGTGCAAAAATGCTAAGTCGAAAGTGCAACCATCTGGGTTGTACACGCCACTACATATTCCTTGTGCACCGTGGGTTGACATTTCAATGGATTTTGTGCTAGGATTGCGGAGGACAAAGAGAGGAAGAGATTCAATTTTCGTGGTGGTGGATTGATTCTCAAAGATGGCACACTTCATTCCATGCCATTAAATTGATGATGCAAACAACGTGGCAGATTTGTTCTTCAAAGAGATTGTGAGATTGCATGGAATGTCTCGCACCATCGTGTCTGATCGAGATGCGAAGTTTTTTTAGCTATTTTTGCAATACATTGTGGAGTAAACTCGGCATAAAGGTTCTGTTTTCAATGACTTGTCATCCTCAAACGGATGGACAAACTAAGGTGGTCAATCGTACTCTCTCCCAAATGCCACGAGCCATGATCAAGAGCAACATCAAAACTGGGGAAGATTGTCTACCACATGGCGAGTTTGCTTACACTCGAGTTGTGCATTCAACCACAAAGCATTCTCCTTTCGAGCTCGTTTATGGGTTCAATCCACTTACACCATTGGGTTTTACACCTCTACCATTAATGGAGAAAGTTAACATGGATGGAGCCAAGAAGGCAGAATTTGTGAAGAATCTCCACGAGAAGGCAAAGGTGAATATCGAGAGGAGGATGGAGTAGATCATGAAAAACGTCAACAAGAATAGAAAGTCTCATTCATTTGAAGCTGGAGATCGGGTGTGGGTGTGGGTGCAAATGAGAAAGGAAATGTTTCCTTATGAAAGGAGATCCAAGTTTTTACCTCGAAGTAAAGGTCCCTTCGAAGTGATCTCGAAGGTTGGGAGCAATACCTACAAAATTGATTTACCAGGAGAGTATGGGATAAATGCAACTTTCAACGTTACCGATCTTGCATCATATTTAGAGGACAATTCGAATTTGAGGCCGAATCCTTTTCAAGAGGGAGGGACTTATGAGGTCATCAAAACCAAGTCCATATCGTTACAAGAAGGTCCAATTACACGATTACAAGCAAAGAGGTTAAGGGAAGAGTTTACTGCTTATTTGGATTGTTACTTTGCTCGAATGGACGTGGATCATCATCGTGAGAATCCCATTACATTGCTACAACTCGTGAACCAGAATGGAGGAAGAATGGGCTTGGAAGGAGGAGAGGATTCAGTCAAAGAAGAGAAGAGGAGCCCTAGGTGTGAAAAAGATCAAGGTGTGAATACAAGTTTATGGGCAGATTTGAAGACTAGATTCTAGGGAGTGTGTTGACTTAGTCTTTTACTTGTTTGTTAAGGATTTGTGTTTCCTTTTGAGTGTAGGATTTGTTATTTTATTTGTTTTCCTTTTAATTTTTGGATTAGTGTTAGAAAGTCTATAAATAGGGGCTTAATTCCCCATTATAATTCATCAACTTTTCAATTAATAAACTTTCAAGTTTCGAGTTCAATACTAACTATTTTCTTTGTGCAAGCTTTTCTCGAGAGTCTTTAGGAGTTTCATGTGTCCCTTATCAACTAGAGAGTGTGTCTAGTTGTGGCGAGCTTCTACCAAATAGAGATTGGTCTCATTCACGAGTTGGAGATCGTTTGATTGGTTTGTACACCAATTGGCCTTTCTCACGAGTGGAATCTGTTCGATTGTGTTCCATCTTTATCTTTTATTAGAGTTTCGTTTAAGTTGGAGAAAAGCTTCGAAAAATCCCATAAAGAGAAGGAAGGATGCATACTTTGGTCACATTAACCTATGATTAGAGGGATTCAACCAAAGCAACAACCTACCTTAGAGATTTCCCTCTGTTTACACCTAAAAATAATCTTGTAGCACATTGATTATTCATAAGGTTTTTAATACCTTTATAAGGCCAGATCAATAATAACAAGCTATGTTAATTAAACTTGGCCTTATGGTACTAGATTTTTAAGCCCAAATGGCCAAGTCTCTAAGAGGGCACTATTTTCAGCGCGAGGAAGCTAAGTATGCTAGAACACGTTCGTGACGAGTCTACTAAACTATGTTCTTCGCGAGTTTGGTAGATGTCGGTTGTCGCGAGTCCGCTAGATCACGTTCTTCGTGAGTTCACTAGACCACATTGGTCAGGAGATCTAGACAACTTTCGTCATGAGATCTAGACCGCAATTGAGATCTAAACCAATAATTTGGACATGAGAAGGAAGCCACAAAATATACTAAGTCTGAGAGTGGTTGGTCACGAGGGAGTTAAGTGCCCCATTGGCGGTGAGATCTAGACATCCCTCGTCTCGATTGAGCTAGACTGTGTTGGTTTCAAAATCTAGATCTAGAGCATCAGTCTCGAGGAAGAGATCAGGCCACGATGTTTGTGAGTGGGCATTCA